CTGTGCCGTCAACAAGCGGAGAAGGGAATTTTAATTTTAATTTAAAACCACCGACATCTCATACCAGAGCCTAAATTACTATAATATATTCCTGCTCCTATATCAGAAGTGCTAACTCTGAAAATGAAAGACAGGATTCTGTTAGGAAATATAATTTGGTATATACATTTTTTATACATATTAACACTACATATATACATTAACACTACAGGAGATATATATATATATATATATATATATATACACATACGCACACATATAAGTGGGTGACTTCACCATGAGTGTTGATAAACCATTAATATTTATTTATTTAACTTTCTTCCCAATACCCCCCAAATCTTTAATCCCAGAAGAACATTTTAAAATGAACCTGGCTAATTGTGCTATAATATGAGGGCAAAAACCAATAGACTCAGTATATATTTCAGCATGTGAAAAAGCAGCCTTGTTCCTCTACTGGGTTACAAAGATCTCCATCTAAAGCACTGTGGTGATAGCTTCATTAATCTCTCCAAAAACAAAGTGCTCCTCCGCTCAGGCATTGCCTCCGACGGTGTAACCTATACTGCGGAGGGCTCAGGCAGACAGCAGTGGACGGGTTCCTGGCATGAGCCTCCCCAGATGATTTACACAGGCCAGGGCGACACGGGCACAGGCATGACTCATCTCGAAATGAAACGATTACAGTTAACTTGTAAAGGACAACCTTCACGCTCTTAAGTACACTTCTCTCTTAAAACTTTAACGACAAGAAACGGGTACCAGTATGAAAAATAAAACACCTACTCATTTTCCACCTCTCCCTGCTGCTCTCCTGTGCCAAATTTTAACATATAAATGGGTAAAAATTAAAAGTAGCCTATGGCTTACCTAACATAATTATATGTTGTGTTTTACGCTGTTTCAAAACGGATGCATTAAAATAATCCAGCCTTGGCTCCTACCCGCTGATGTCAATGAAGCTTATTAAGGCCAACTGCCATATAAACCAATGCATTGCTACCCCAGCACAGGAATTGTCAAGGCGGGAAGTGCAATTCTAAAAATTCAAAGCGATCGGGATCTGCTCTTCTGCTCGAAAAGAAAAAAGCATGAAGACGTTTCTCTTCAGTACAGAAATCATCCGTATATCTGAAAATGTTTACTCTGGAAACTCTTCCAGAATATTTCCATTGGATTATACCAGACTGACCTTTTTTTTTTTTTTTTTTAAGGTCAAAAGGAAATGAGGAAATGTCATCAATTTAGAGGACATCACACCTAGCAGTCTTTTCTGGATCATTGTGAATTTGATAGTGTTATAACATTTTATAGGCAAAATAAATGTCAGTTTTGCAAAGCGCGATACCAGACCCTGAGAGACAAATGGTCTATCCATTGAATCTCTGGCTACAGCAAGACTTCCGCACCTCACAGGAGATTTCGGCTTTTCATATTTCTCTTTACCCAGAAAGCAAAGCTTGTACAGTTTCTTTCAAATGGTAACTCTCTCTTATCCTGTAGTGTCTCCTCATTATACAGTAATCCCAGATGCGGGGGTGGGGCTGGTTTAAAAAAATAAAATAAAATACAAATATCTGAATAGTATGACAGTGTTATAATACCTTCCTGAATAGAGAGCAAAATGAGAGGAAAGGTTAGGCTAAATTCCTGGGTTAAATAAGAAAGGGTTATGTTGCTTTGGGTTTAATTCATGAGGTAATATTCAGCGAAAACGTGATATTTTATCAGAATGTCATTCAAATATAAGGTTTAACATTTACATCACAAGAGCAGGCACAGAGTAAAAGTATCCTAGGGGAGCGAAATGGCAAGAATAAACAGCATGATAAAAATGGTGCTTGCTGGAACAGGAGTAGGCAGTCGAGGCTGGGGGAGTTCTCGACACAGCTGACTCAACTTTTTGAAATATGTGACTGGTTATGACATGCGAAGCAATTACCATTAATGGAAGAAACGCAATTTCAAAGCTCATTTTCCATTCTTCTGCTACAATATATCCTACCTGGGACTACACCGTCCGACCGCAACGCGAAAAAAGGAACACCAAGAGAGAGAGAAATTACAACACATATCTCTTCCCTGATACAAGGGCTGTCAAAGGTTGCTTTACTCATAAGCAAAAGGTGAAAAGTAATGTACATATTGCCTGAGGTTTTCTGTTTTATTTTCTCGCCCAAAGAGATCAATGCTATGTTACAGAACAGGAAAAAAATACATCAATTAGAGAAGTCTTTCCACAACACACACGATTTTACAACTCCAAAAAAAAAAAAAAGCATAAAGATAAAGAAGAATCATTTGTCTAAAAGGATAATAATTTTGAGTAATATATTCCCTGGAAGCAAAGTGAGTGCATTCAGAAATACCGTTTAGATTAGTCTAATTCTATAGGATCCAAATGTGCACCAAACACTGCACTTTTTATGTTAAATGGCTGTTGAATTTGTTAACCCACAACTGATTTCCTGTGTTATGGAATCTTGGAGATTACAGCTAACTTGAAGCAACAGGGATAATTCTTGACAGTTAATGGTACATTTGTATGCGTTTTCCTGAAAGGCAAGCGGCTGGGGGCCTCCAACTGGTGGCTCAACATTGCCCCCTACTGTCTGTGACTGAAAAAATAGGAGGTGGGCTGGGTACAAAGCAGTAATTCAAGCAGCCAGTGCCAGCTCCTCCCTGAGTCCACGAAAAGCAGATGGCACTGCACAGAGCCAGACCCGTCAACTTTCCCAGTGATTATTCTCCTCTGTCTCCTCCAATAGCAAAAATAAATGATTATGCATTTGTTAAAAGTCATTAGAAAAGGCTTGAAGCCATGCTCAGATTTAATTTAGAAGTACCATCCCTTTTATCTTGGCCCAGGCCTCCGCTCTGCTGATAAGGATCATCCTGAGGCTTGGGGACAGACACTGAGACCATTCATTTCACTCAGGACACTTGGTAACGCCACACCGGCTGCGAGGAAACTCGCTCCGCAGAATTCCCAAGATTGCTCTTCTTTTCAGCATTTTTCACATGAGCGTTTATAAAGTAACTAGAAGGCATTCCATCGAATGTGCCATCGCCACCAAATTAAAACAAAAACAAAAACATTATAACTAAATCTTTTGCATGAATTCATCATGAACATCACGGGTCAGCTCACAATACCAAAGATTTCACTTACAAAGAAAGAAAAAAAAGGCTTGAACAAAAGCAATGGAAAAATATTTTTAACAAAATCAGTGAGTTCCTGTCTTATTTGTTTGCCAGCTCTAATTCATAGCGTTGTCAAATTACAGTCCCAAAGTCTAGTTCATGTCTTGGAGTCAAGGTTCAGCAAAGAAAGAAGTTTTAACTCAGATATAAATGGACAAAACCAGAGTGAAAAACAAATATTGCCTGAAACTGAAGCTGCCTTTATATATCTATCCCATAAAAATGGGGCACACTCCATCCAGGCTAATTTTAGGAATAGAACTAACTAAGGAGATTTAGGCATGAACTTTTCATTACCTCCAACTCATTTTTACGACGCTCACTCTTGCATTGATTCGTTTCTTTGGAGAAATGCATTTTTGTGATACTCTCAGTCCACCAAAAGAAGGATTATAGCATTCCTTCCTCAGACTTATACCCATGAAAAGGCATGATTTAAAGATATGAGGAGACGTCTGGAAAGCAGAGACTTCTCGGTTCTGACGCAGACTTTCAAACTGGGGTCCCTCCAGGATTGTGACTTGATATTTTCATTATTATAAAAGAGGGATTAGCAATAGCTACCCATTTTTTGCAGATGAGTTCATTGTTTCCAGCACATTTCAAAGTTGGGGCAGTGGCACTATCTCAAGAGTTTAGCAGGCTTTTATCACTTTTCACTACATTCCAAATTCAAGTATTTGGAAGTGGAACAGGGAGGTGGTGAAGAGCACGACCCTAGCGTCAGCCTTCGTGAGTTCAAATCCCAGATCCCCAGTTACAGAAGATGACCTTGTGGAAGGATGTCGACCTTATGTGTTTCGATCTCCTCGTTTGTAAAACGGGAGGGAAATAACACCTACTTTATGAAGTTGTCATAAAAGTTAAATACATTACATATACAGCATTTAGAAGAGTGCCTGGTACTTAATAAGTATCGTGTAAGTATTTGCATTATTACTATTAGTTAAATGAAGGCTTAATTCAAGACCTTCATGTGGTCTCAACTTGCCTTCCAGCTGCATTTCCTGCTACATCCTCTGAATTCCTTGTTCTAGTCACACTGTAAACCCCGCTTCTGATCTTGTTTTTACAGTTCTTGGAGCCCAAATTCCTCTCCAAAGGCCCCATCCAACCCCTACTCCTCCCCATCCAAGGTCCCCAAAAGCCACATCTGCTGTTTCACAACAGTTCCCGTTCCAGTAGTCTGAATTTAATACTCCCTCCTCTGGACTGTGATTTTTTAAAGTCTCTATTACAGGATTTCATTTTAGCTAATGTAACACCTGGCTGTAGTCAAGTCTCTCTCCTTGTTAAACTGGATGTAGTGGTTAAGAGCACGAGCTACAGAGCCAGACAGCCTGGGGTTTGATCTTGCGCCGCCACTTACCCTGTGACCTTGGACGAGGCGCTCCTTTCTCTAAAGCCTCGGTTTTCACATCTGTAAAGTAAGGCTCATAACAGTTTCTGCAGCTCATAGGACCGCTGCAAGAATTTTAAAACTTAATAGAGGGAAAACCCTTAGAATGGTGCCTGGTGCACATACAGAATGCAAATAAATGATTTTTAGGTGTTACTGTGGTCCTCTCATCATCACTTCACAGCACACATCTAACACAGCACCTTATATGCAGGAAACGGTCCAAAGATGTTCACTGAACTGACGTGCGGTTGCACTGATAAAATCCTGCCTGTCCCGTTACCTAATGCAGTAATTTAGAATAATTAAATATGCATTTACCTATGCAAATTAGGCAGCAGAGGGTTTACCCAGCACAACATCCCGGACAAGACGGCTGCAGACCTCGAGTACTTACCGCGGACTCCATCTTCCTCCACAGGTCTTCCAGCTGAGTCATGGGCTGACACCACCAATCGCTGCACTTTTTGTACCGGCTGCCTTGAAACCAAAACTGTCGCAGCCACTCGAACTCGACCTGTAGGCCATATAGACAAGGCAGTGGTTATAATGCCCTTGCGATGGACGCTCAAGGACAATAACTTCATCACTCAATGCTCCTCCAGTGACTGAAGAGCCACAGGATGAGAAAAGGTGAGAAAAGCTCAGCTGCACCAGTTCCCAGTATAACTTGTAGTCTCCAGAGCATTTCTGCTAAGCCAAGGAAAAAGTAGCCTTAAAGCAAAGTAGGGATGGTCACATTTATCAGTCAGACGGGAGGAAATTATAAACCAATTGACAACAAATACTCAGATCTTAAGGGTCCAGTAGCCTGTACTGTGTACGATGGGAAAGATAAAATCAAACAATGTTCTTGTTAGACGCCTTTATTAAAGAGCAGCACTAAAAGCAAAGCACACATAGTAGCAGACACCAATTTTAAGTTGCTTAGATTTAAAATCAATAAGGACCACACCCAACTATACTTCAACTTAAAAAAACTAAATAAATAATATAGTACAGCCAAAATAAGACTTGACCCAGGGCCAGGGGGAGCTGGGGATGATGTCAACCCATATAACTAAACAACAGAAAGTTAATCATGGAGGCCTACACACATTAAACCTACAGGGCCATTCGAACTGTCACTTTTCGATTTAGGGCAAATGATAATAGGTACAAAGGGCAGAAAGGACACTAATAGCTTTCTTTCCTTCCTATGAACCCACTATGGTAAACTTCTATCATTGGCCGCCTTCGCTTTCCTCCTCCGACGGCAGCCGAAGCCCACCATCCACCTGAGGACCGCTCCCCTCCCGCAGCCTCAGTCCCTGTGGTCTGGGTGGGGCTCCAGCTCTAAGACCGGGTGGCAAGTGCAACCTGAGTCTGAGCCAATTGGGCCACCACATTTCTCTAGTCCCAGAATTGGGTTTGGGGGTGAGAGGCGTGTGTTCAATCGGAATAAGTTTTGAGGCTATAGACGGTCAGGAGATACGAGAAGAGGGTTCTGCAGCCATTTTGCAGAATGGGCAGAACGCGGGCCACACAGCAGGAAGCGGCTGCAAGATGAACATACGAAACTCAGCTCCTGGTGACAACAACTGACTCTTAATCGAGCTATTCCAGACGCCCTTTTTGCTTAAGCCAGTTCAGGTTGCGTTTCCTGTCCCCTGCAATTGAAATAATGCCCACATAGGTGGATGAGGAGCTGAGTCAAGTTTGGAAAGGCTAAGAAATTAATTCCTATCTATTTTCCAAGTCTTCTATCACTCATCTTCAACTTGAAATTCAGATTTTACCATCAAAGTACGTACGGCTCCATTCATCCCCAAAACTCTTTCTACCTCTGCCCTCTAAAGAAATGTAGAGCTTTCACAGCTTCATGTCGGGCTTGGCTAAGGTAATCGTGTTCCATATACAGACACAGAGCTATTATAATCTTTACCTGTTACCACAAGGAATTTTTTTTGTTTATCCATATTGAACTTTCATGAGGCAAACAAAAGCAACTTGTAAAGATTTAACAATGGTGTAAAATGGCTCAAATAACTAACCTGAGAACACCAAGTCATATGAAAGGGTTTTAGTTTACATTAACTAAACGTTTGTTTGATATGTAGCACTGATTTCAGTTAAAGCTGTTTAAACAAAAAAAAAAGGGGGGGGGGAGAATGTAGACAATATTAAGACAATAGTTGCTAAGCCTTATCGGTGGTATTAAAAGACAGTGGTTAACAGAAGTGAGCTTAGCTGCTTTGAAAGCAGAATAAATACAAGTTCAACTTCTCTGAAGATACAGGTTTAACAACATTACTTATTACAACAACAACAACAAAGAGTTCTTTTTAATAGATGGCACATGAAATCGGTTCACACCACAGGAAGAGCCTGTCGCCAAAGCATCAAGCCCTGTGTTGGGGAGAGTGGAAACGATTTTTAAAAGTTTCCCTGTCTTTGGGCTGGGTATTTCTATTGATGAGGACAAACCATATCGGCCTTGGCAACCATGGTATCCCAGGAAATAAAACAGATGATGAGATGGAATTAGTTTGGTCGACCTCTCAGGGCACACGAGAGTCTGGATTTCAGTAAATTCAAACTCAGAAGAAAGGGGAGGGGCAGACCTGGAGACTTCGCTACAGACAAGATGGCAAAGGCAGGGCCTGCCCTTTTCAGTAAAGAATGATTTCATCTTCCTCTGCAGATACCCAACTATCTTTTAAGGCAGACAATGTCATAGTTTAAAAAAAAGGGCTCTGGAACCAGTTCAAACCGAGCTCCATACCATCTGTAAAATAAAGATAATTATATAATAACCACATAGGATTGTGGTGAGGATTAAGTGGGTTAATAATGAATGGCCTACTATGTGCCATGCGGTTGCCAGATGCTACAAATACAAACTGAACAAGGCCACAAGGCCTAGGACGTATTGTCTTCAAGGATGTCACAATCTTAGGACATTTTCTGAGCAGTGACAAGTTCTACCTTCTCATGCCCACCCCTCTCTCCCTGATGCCAGTCAGAACCGTTCAAACCTGAGGGGACTTCCTCCCGACAGGGTTGTATTCTTGAGTGAAAGTGCTGCCAATGAGATACGATCTTTGTGGGCATCGAATCCACTGGCATGCATTTTACTCAACTCCATAACCTGACTTTTTCATTTTAATGTTGTGGGCAAAAATATTACAGGATTGTAATCAAATGCCACCCTCACCAGCTCCCTTGATGCCAAAAGAAGTAATTGGCTCCTTTCTTAAAATTAATTAAGGAAACCAAAGAAATTTTTCCAGCTTCTTGATTCAGAGTTTGAGTTACAAAAAGAAAAAAAAAGAAAACACTGGCATTTTTTTTCTTCTCCCCAAAGGAAAGCTGCAGGGTGGACACGGCACAAAAACCAAAGGCTAAGCCTTATTATTTCAGGGCTGAATGAAACCAGTGTAACCACACGGACTGTCTGATAAAGTCCCAGTCATGACAGTAGGGTCTTCGTCCCTTCTCCAGAGTGCAGTTTCTGCAGGAGGCTCACAGCTACGGGGCAGAAGGAAGAGACAAGCCGTCCGCAGGGGAGCGGCTGACTGTGGCCCAGGAACCCTCCACGGGTGATGCTGACTCCCCCGCCCCCCGAAGACATGAGCAGCAGAGAGGCAACAACCAGGCGCTCTCCTGGGGTTCCCTCTGAGTTCATGATGCTTATAAACCAAACTCCCAGATTTTCGACTTGCACTCAGTGGAAATTTACCATATTATTCAATCTTTGGAGCAACTGTACTACAAAGGTAAGAAATGCCCACAGGTATCAGAAGGCATAGTGACAGCCCAGAGGCCCTGCGGGGTCCTGCAGGGACCTCTGAGTCACGCAAGAGAAATGGAAACACGTGCACACTAGTGTTCGCTTCATTGCTGTGACCCCAAAAACCATCTCTATAACCCTCTTAACTAATCTGCACCTGCTTTCTCCACAGAAGAGTCAAGAGAGAGATCAACCCAGAAAAGTATGTTTTCCTAACAGCGTCCAGTAAAAGTCTGAAGGGAAAAAAGAGAGAATCCCTCCGCCTACCTGAACCGCCTTGGTCACCAGGCACTTAGGCACTGGGGAGCGATGCTAAGGAGGATAAGGTTCCAAAATCCTATTTCTGAGCCACGACATCACCATTCAGTTATCAGGCATCCCCACCACTCTTACAGGTGAGCAATCACCACCTACTGGTCATCTGCCAAGTTGGTCTGGGTCAGCCCACGCAGTTCCTTCATGAGATGCGTGAATGTGTCCACTGGGCTTAACGCCTCAGTGCAGCAACCGGAAGAAGGCGGTCCGCTGAGAAAGACATTCAAGCAGGCGGGGTGCTAAGGCGCAGTGCGCCAGGGCTGCCCTGTGAAGGCCCTTTCGCCGTCGCCTAAGGAAGAGGCAGGTCTGATCAGAACAAAGTGAGAACCGACGACACCATCAAGCAGGGCATGCTCCGAAGGGAAACTGGCTGGGTAGAGGTGGAATGCCACATTCTACATTTTTAGAAGGAAAACAAACCGATAACACACAGGAAAATTCTGCTTATAACACGAATCTTTTCTAAGCATGCTAAATTGAAAAAAAAAAAAAAAGAATCTTCTTATATATTCAGTTCCAATCCCAAAGTTCCCAAATTGCTTAGTTAGAAACCATCTAAAATAAGGAAAACAGGCCACTTCTAAGCTCACACAGCCTGAAAGCCTGCAGCATATAAAACCCAGGACTTCACCCTCTGATGAGCCTAGCAGAGGCCGGGGCCTTGAAGAGAGAGGAGAGTGAGCAGTAAGACCCCGAGGTAACGCACGGACACTTACGCTTTCCTTTCACGACGGAACAGTAGAGAAAGCGCCTACAAACGCTCAGTCCAGGCCACTCGGATGGCGACAGAACAGCGTCGATGATGGGCCCTGACACATGAAACTCATCCTTCAAGTAAGGGGATGAACTTGAAGACTCAAAGATCGGGGGGATGGAGAAGGCTAGGACACAAGCTATTTAGATTCAGGGTCTCCGTCTCCATTCAAACCTAGGCAGGCCTCCAGGGGCTGCGGTCTCTGATACGTCTCGGCCCCACTCGGCTAACACATACAATGTCATAAGCAGCCGGCCCCTTGCTGAACCAGGTGCTTTCAGATGATGATAGTCTACTGTCAGATAAACTGCGTCATTTTACAGATTTCCGCCGCCCACTGGTGATGACAAAACATCAGTCACAGGTGAAGACCAGAAAGGACAAAGGAGGAAAAACAGCTCCTGTGCAATGTTAAAGGGAGCACCCATTCTGCTAGCCTGACACCTCCAATGCAAGGTTTTTAGAGAAGGAAGTACCTACATGTCCAGATCAGAATTGCTTCATGACAAATATGGAGAAAGATATAATTGCTCCCACGTCTCATTCAGGGAGGTCACCAGGCCCATAAATGCTTACCTTTCCTGAAGTTCGAGTAACCGGCAATATCTCTAGCAAGGACTGATGGGACAGAAGGTGGGACACTGATCAGGCACAATGAGGAAAGAAAGCCAGTCTTGGGTCCAGCTTAGCATTGGACGTGGTTCTCACTTCCCTGAAAGGCAGAATTTCTCTCTCTGCCTTTGGGTCTGGAGGTTATGGCAACATTTCACAAACTGTGGAGCAGCTCCTAAAATTCTAAATATCTTTTTACAGCTATTAGATGGCATTGTGGAAACAGAAGTTTACATCTGCTCAAAACCCCCTAAAGATACCCCATTTCCTGAAGAGTAGAAAGGAAAGTCCTTGTCCTTCATGGGGCCTTCAAATCTTGAAGGTACCTCATCTCCTGTAACTCACAGCTTCACTCCCACCCCTCAGATCAGACTGCCCCTTAACTAGCCCACGAACACCAGGCCTTCTCTCTTTGCAGTGGCTGTTCCCTCTACCCAAAACACTGTTCCCCAGGTATCCACATGGTTCACACCTCCCCTCCTTCCAGCCTCTGCTCAAAGGACATCTGATCCGTGGGGATGTTCTCCAGTTTCCTCCGTCTCCCTCATGTTGCTCTGTTTGGGTTTTTGTGTAGCACTTATCACCTCTAACTGTATAATTAACCCATGAGTTATGTTTATTATTTATTGCCACCTCCCTGCACTAGACTGTCTATTTTCTTTACCAGTATATCCTGAAGCACCCCAAAGAATGTCTGGCACATGCTCAGTAACTATTTATTGAAAGGATGAATGAGAGCATTTTGCATTCCAAAATCGCCATCAATCCTTCTAATTAAACCAAACAGAAAAGTCTCAGATTGGTGATAATCTTCAACAATCCTCTACCACTTGGCAAACTCTTTTCTCCTTCTAGTAGTTTTTTTTTTGTTTTTTTTTAGGTGTAATTTACCCACCATAAAATTCACCCATTTCATGTGTAGAATTCAGTGACTTTTAGAATATATATGGAGTTATACACTATCTCCCTTCCTAACAGGAAGAATGAAGTCGGGCTCAGAGACTTCTCCCGGCAACACACCTGCTGGAATTTCATAATATGCTCTGTTTTCACTGGCTCTGCTTTTCTGGTTACTTCTTTTGGCTACTGACGCTGGCTTCCCACTTGAAGTGGTAATATAAAGCTTCCTTTTTCAAGAATTTTATTTAGTAAAAAATGAGTTGGTTTTTAAAATGTATTAAATAGACAAAAATATACGTAGTCCAAAGATGTAGCGAAAAGGGTATGCATGAGAACAGCAAAGTTTGTGAAACTGACTCACGGGACCCAGGCTGCTGGTCTCACAGACGGCAGAATGGCCAAGTACTAAATAAAAGGCAGAGCGCTGACACGTGCTCCATGATCCACCGTCAGCCTCCCTTAGATGTGCTGGCGGACTAACCTTCTCGGGTCTCTTGTGTTTCTGCATATCTGGTAAGCAAGGCGCTGACTGCCCTTTGTTTCAGACACTCACTGCATGGATGTTTGTAGAGTGAAAAGCCCTGGAAGATACAGTTTCTCCCTCCAGAACAACGGGCAGGTTTGCTAACACGCTTAGAGGATAAAGACAGTGTCTTGACTTGGAGCAAAGGACAGGCATGTTTACTATCTATTATAAAACATTTGTGTTCCCTGAGCTCAGGTTCCTCTCCTATAAGACAACCCCTCTATGTGTACCTGTTATCTGGCCCACTTTGCACTGCCCTGTGGAAACGGAGGGTTGGGGAGCTGGCGCAAAATACTGATACTCTGGCTATTGTCGTATGTGATCAACGGTCCTTTGTCTCTGACCCAGGAGTCTCATGTCTTACACCCATATGCAACAAGGCAGATTAACAGGCAAGCTTGCCAGTAGAATAGGATCGCAGATGCTTCACTGTTCTTCAAAATCCTCACCTCATTGTGGATTTCTTCTCCTTGCTTCAAAACCGCAGGCTCCAAGGATTTCAAAGAGACATCGCCATTGTCCGCCTCATCCCGGATATTCTGCATAGCCAACTGGCAGCGCTGCGAGATATAATCCCAGGTCCCCGTTGAGCACTGCAGAGACACACCAGCAGTCAAGATCATAAATTCCAAGGTCACCATGCCTCCCTTCCCAGGGTTGTTCACATTTGTCCGCTTTCTGTACAGTCACCGGTCACCCTCACAGCTCAGCCCATACTTAACTTAAGAATGACTATAGTGGCTCGCTGGGTTCGGTGCTGCCAGCGTGGCCTCACCTGGCCCACCCATCTTGCTGGTTTTCTTTTATGATGTAGGCCTCGTATCTCTAACTAAACAGACGCTCCTTCAGGCTAAGGCCCCAATACGAGAACCGAGTCCGAAATGTAACAGACACTTAATAAGTAGTTACTGGGTGAATAACTAATTACCCAAGAAGTCAAGGATGCTGACTTTTATCTCAAGTGCCCTGAACCTAACAATGGGGAAAAAAGGCAACCAGACTGAAGAACTGGTTCAAAAGTACACAAAAGACAACAATCATGGCAGGAGAGAAAAAAAATAATAATGGAAGTTATAAACGCAGGGCAAAAAACTCATTTTCCTTTTCTGCAAAGAGCATACACTAGGCAATTGCAGTCCTTGGGAGAATAGATTCTTCAAATAATGGAGGCTATGTGGCTCATGTCCTCGAGGCACGTTCAAAGGCATGACTTAGAACCTGGGTATCAGCAAGGGCACAGATAACCAGGTCAGCCCTCTCGGGCGACGGGAACGAAACGGGTCAAATGGACAGAGCCCCTGCTTTGAATGATCTTATGTCAGAAAAGAAGAGGACGCAGGTGGAGGACGCATCCGTTTGTTTTGATAATGACATGATTTCCTAGAATGATAAAAAGGAAGCTATAAATATCCTTTAGACCCAGGGAGGGAAATGTATCCCTAAAGTATTTTTCTTTTAATATTTGTCACTTAGACCGATCCCTTTAGAAATAGTGTTGAAGGCTAACCTCCTGGTACAAAACTGCTTTGCACAGTTACCGCCGTTTACTACGATGTGACATGGGCAAGCCTGGGGGGGAAATAAAGTTTCCGGGCCAAAAACAGAAGTTCGACTAATACCGATTTTAGTATGAAGACCCCAGTGTGTGAGGAGCACAAGGCAGGCAGCTCCAAATTGCTACCAAGAGAAAACAAAAACTGGAGTCGAACTACCACTCAACTTTTGTCCCACAGCCACCCCTACGACATTTTTTTAAAATGACATCCTGTCTATAAACATATTCTTTACTTTATTCATATACTTTACATATTCATATACTTTACTTTCCAAAGTACGAAGTGGCCTACGTAAGAGCTTATTGACTACTCTGCCATTTATTGTTACAAAACACTGGAAACAATCTAAATTTCCCATCAATAGGGGACCAGTTAAATGAACTATGTGGAGCCATACTTGCAGTCAAAAGAAAAAAAAGAAGGGGGATATATATTTTTTCTGGGTGATTAGAGTTTTACTGAATGTAAGGAACCTATAATCAGGCCTGGGTTTGGTGGGTGTTTTTTTTTAATATATATAACCACTTTACTGAGATATAATTCCCGTGTCATAAAACTCACCCATTTGTAACACACAAGTCAATGTTTTGCAGTACATTCACAGAGTTGTGCAACCACCATGACAATTAATTTAAAAACACTTTTATCACCCTAAAAAGAAACCCGGTACCCAGAAGCAATCACACCCTCCCATTTCCACTAACCTTCCCAGAGCTAGGCAACAACTAATCAACTTTCTGTGTCTATAGATTTGACAACTCTGGACATTTCATATAAATGAAATCATATAATATGTGACCTTTTGTGAGTGGCTCCTTCCACTCAGCATAATGTTTTCAGGGTCCCTCCATGTCGTAGCAGGTGTCAGCACCCCACTCCCCTTTACTGCCAAATAACATTCAACTGTATACATACGCTGCATTCTGCTTATCCATTCAGCGGGTGACGAACTTTGAGTTGTTTGCACTTTTTGGCTATTAGGAATCAAGCTACTATGAACAATCATGTACGGGTTTTCATTTCTCTCGGGGAGGGGTGTCTAGGAATGAAATTGGTGGGTCATAGAGTCATTCTGTATTTAACCATCTGAGGGAGAGCCGGACTGTTTTGCAAAGTGGCTGCACTGTTCTACATTCTCTCCAGCAGCATGAGGGTTCCAATTTCCCCACATTCTCGCTAACACTTGTGACTGTGATTTTGATGATGGACACCCCAGTGGCTGTGAGGTAGTGGGGTTTTGATTTGCATTTTCCTGATGACTAATGATGTTGAGCTTATATATACAAGTGTTTCTTGGCCATTTGTACATCTTCTTTGGAGAACTGTCCTTTGAGAAGATCCTTTGCCATTTTTAAAAATTGGATTATTGTTTTAATTTCTGAGTTATACACAGAGTTCTTTATTCTAGATACAAGTACCTTGTGAGTCATATGATTTGCAAATATTTTCTCCCATTCTGTGGGTTGTCTTTTCACTTTCTTGATGGTACCCTTTGAAGCATAAAAGTTTTTAACTTTGATGAAGTCCAGTTTCTCTATTTTTTTCTTTGGTTGCTTGTGCTTTTGGTGTCATATCTAAAAAAGCCACTGCCTACTCTTAGATAAGAATTACATATTGATAAGTACTTATCACCCAGATCTACTAAACAAAAAGTGCACAATTCTGTGTAGAGTAGGCTCTTCTTTGTAAAAAAAAATGCTGTTAAATTACATATGAATTTGCTTATATTTGTATTAAATATCCCTGGAAGGATAATAAGAATCTGATAACACTGGTTGCCTCTGGGGAGGAGGGGCTGGCTGGCCTCGGGAGAAAGAGACGTTAACTGTATACTCTTAGGTACTTTTTAATTTTTGAATCATTTGAGCAACTACTTATTCAAAATATAATTGTACATAAAATTTAAATTAAAAAACAACAACGATATCCTGTGTTGAATCCCAGGAACATTCTGGAACAACCAGAGAAAACTAAAATGAAATAAAGGGTGACACAGTCCAGTCATCCGCAAGCAAAGAACTGAATAGATTTCTTCTCTGATTAACCGAAATGAATTTCAGAGCATCGTTGCCTTAAGACCATCTGTTTCCTCCCTACTGTGAATAGGCAGCAAATCACAAATCATTTTGTTTGGCACAATTAAGACATGTGATGTAGAGCCGGGCAAGTAGCTCAGTTGGTTAAGAGCTCGCTCAAGAGTTTGAGCTCTGAGCAACAGCGGTTCGATGCCCGGCCCGAGCTGAGCTGCCGCTGAGCTGCCAACAGGTGGCAAGATGGCTCAGCTAAAAAAAAAAACAAAACAAAGACATGTGATGTTAATACGTAAGGAGAGGACATTTGTTAAGTAAGTGAGGGCGAAAAGTTGCGTGGATTTTTTTCTCCTCTCTATTGAGAAAAACTATAATGTAACTTTAGTGTTGCGGAGAAAAGCCTTTTCCCTCTTCTAGTATTGAAAACGATAATATAAGTTGAAATAAAAATGTTTAAATAAGATGAAAACATAATCCCACTACCTTACCCTATTTTAATTTTATGACGTGTGATTCAGTGTATATGCTGTTTTTCACTGTTTGTACCTAAATATTCAAAACTACCATTTTCAATGGTTGCTCATTGAGGTGATAGTCAATCATTTAATTAACTGGTCCCATAATGTAAATGCACTAAGGTTCTGTCCAACTTTGCACCACTATTAATCACACTGGATAAACATCTTTATGCTTCTTTTAAATTATTTCCTAGGTTTGATTCCAAAAACAGTGTTATGAGATCAAAGATAAATTTTATGGTGCTTTATACATGTCCCCCCATATAGCTTTCCAGAAACTATATCAATTAAAAAACTACCAGAAGATACCACCAATATGTCACTATCAAGATAATAAATAATCACTATCCCACCTGCCAACCACCTAAATTCCAAACACCTCATCTGACATTCAAGATCTTTCACATAGTCCCCTTCGGGAATCAGCCTTCGCTGCCGACGCTCCCTTTGTGACCTCCTGGTGTCCAGTTAAAGCACCGCCACTCAGGATACCTCATGTACCTCCGTCCCTTCCCAGTCACAGGATTCCCACCTGAGTCCTCACCCCATTAACTGTCCTAAAATATCCTAATCCCCCAACCTCCACACGCTGAAGTCTTCCGTGTCAACCTCACCCAAGAATCCTCATGCTGTTCGTTCTTCTCCACTCTGCACTCTAATGACTCTTAGACTGTAAGCAGCCTGAGCACACTGAACGCGTCAACCATTCCTGTTCACAAGCGCCTAAAAGAATACCTTGAACGTGAAAGTGTGCAGAATGGATGGACTAAAATCATGTCCCTTCTTCTGAGTACTACTTTCAATCTACAGCAACTCTTACAAGCAAGACTCCCTGATGGCTTACTGACTCTTGCTTTATTCTGTATACACGAGTGCATAAACGGAGACGGAACAGCATCCCACACAGAGCTCTGGTTGTCCCCATCTCCTAGGAGCTTTCCGTCGGGATAAATGAAAAGACACTAGTATTGGTAGCAGTAATAGTAGTAGGTAATTTAATTATAGTAGTAGTGGCCAACATTCTCTGAATACATAGTCTGCCCCAGCCACCAATCTAAAGGTATTCCATGTACTAACTCACTGACTCCTCAGAAGAACCCTGTGAAGTAGGTGTGATTGTCACCCTCATCGAGTATGTATTCCCAAACTTTGCAGTCATCATTTTGCACAGTCCTCTGAACACAGCACTAATCAGCTTGTCTACTCTTCCAGATTAGATTTCAAAAGTTGCCAGGGCACACAAGTAGCCACACACTCAAACTGACCCAGAAGAAAAGGGCCCTTGGGAGGACTGCAGCTAGAAAGGCGGACGCCTATGCATCTTGGGTTGTATAAAAATGAAGTATCTTTTGGTCCAATGCAAAGCACATGTTAGATGCTCTATAAATGCTTACTCCTCCCTTCCTCCGTTCCTCTCCCCTCCTTCCCTTTCCTTCCTTCCTTCCTCCCTACCATCTTTCCCAATTTCCTAACAAAACTTAATTGTCCCTAAGATAATTGTTTCTGTGTTTATCTGCTTAATACTTGTCTCCCCAACAAAAGTGGAAGTTCAACAAAGGTGGCGGCCATAATTGTCACGTCCATGGCACACAACAGGCACTCCAATATTTAGATGAATGAGTGAATGGAAGAGAGAAGAAAAGAAGACAAGGATAAAGGGAGGAAGGAATGCTTGATGGGCTTGCTGGCATCTTGACTGAAACAGACACGCATGCCCTCTCTGCCACACAGCAACGTGACCAGTCCACCAGAGAAGCTACTTAACTGCCAAAAGGCACGCCACTGCCCTCCGGACCCACACAGTCTCAGGACTGATAAGGTCTCGTGCTTGTGCTTCCTGCCACTTTGCTTGTATCCCTTCTGCCCAACTCTCTCACCCGGGTCCCCCGTGTACGATAAAAACTCCAGCTGTAAAGCAAAACACAGATAACAAACGCAGAAAGAGGTCCACTTGTCATCCTGTTCATGGTTACTCGCTTTGCTCTCTGGAACCCTTCCTAACTGAGCCCACAGTAACCCAGGCTGACTACTAAGGGTTTTCTTTACCTCTCGAGTTTCCATACTGAGCTAGTCTAATGGGCTGTCCATCGGCCACTCCAAGTGGTGGCAGAAGTTAGCAATAAAGTCTGGGTTATAAGTACAACTGGGGAGCTCAGAAGTTTTTTGGCAGCACTATAACTTTCTCCTTAATTTACATTCACATGCCCAGAAGCCTGACCAAAAGTTAAGGGAAATGTAAATTCTCAGCCATCTGAGCCCAATCACAGCTAACACATGCACAAGCACACAAACCTGCTCCATTTCCTTCTGGCCATCTCCTGCCCTTGACCTTGACAGATACAAACCCCTTAGAAAATCTCTAACTAGCAACACCTGCCAATGGCATTTACCTTCTCTAAGAAACATAACCCCAAAGAAGCAAAATATACTTATCCCACGCTGTGAATACACTTTTTAAAACTATCCAACACAACTCAAAGCTAAAAATGCAAGTAAATAGAGGCTAAAGTCAAGTGAGATGGAAGCAATTTTCCTATCAAATACTCTTCCAAAGTTCTATGATAAATTGCTTATTCAACCACTTCTGCCACATCCAATTAAGTTTGAGTCATATTTTTATTTACACTTACCTCTGCCACTCGGTGGGTGGAACTAAACCGAGGTGGTAAACCAGCCAAAACACAGTGTTGGTGGGTGGCATTGAGATCATCTGCAGGAAAAATACCAAAACTTTAAAAAAAAAAAACCACACATATACTTAACACTTATTAGTCACTCTATACTATTTAATTAAAATACAAAGTAAACAGTAAATCCATCATTCAAGAACAACAATAGGAATTGAAGAAATTAACAATTACTTTATATTCTTTAAACCATTCTTTGTAAATAAAATGACCATCAAAACCATGACACTTTCAAGAGGGAAAAGGAATGTTACTAATAATTATTCCAGGACAATAGGTGTAAAACCATGCTGTCCTTATCAAACAAGATGTATGGTTACCTTACTTATTTGAAGTCTTATGATACCCACTCATTGCAAAGTTTACTATTTAGGGGTTGAACTTCTCTTTCTCATGATATATATAATTCTACTCTTGCCTTCAGAATAAGCCAAAATTATTTCATATTATTTGGGGTTGAACATCCTTCATCCGAAAATCTGCCTTTCTCTCCCCAATCAAACTATGAATTTTGCCCTAATGATTTTCTAGGCAACAAACCAACCAGCTCAGCATGTTGCAAAGCTCTGGCTCAGAACAGAATTCAAGCCTATGGATTCACAACCCAAGAGTGGAGTAGGTGGTGAATTCATCAGCTGAAGAATATGCTTAAAACCACATGCAGCAGGAGAGAAGCCAATGGCCAAGGTGTTGTATTCTAAGAAATGATGCCACATGTCAGGCAAAATCTGTATCGCCTCCACTAGGACATCACTTCCTGTGTTACAAAGAAGAGAAATGAAGAGTACTGTTCCCTAGGAACAGAATTCCTATATCGTCAAAGAAGCTTCTTACCAAGATACCAAGAAGAGTGACTTCTTGACATACAGAGGGTGCTAAAAAAATGGATACACATTCTAAGAAAGGAAAAAACTGTATTAAAATTACACTGATGGTAACCACTTTGAGCACCTCTTGTAATTGCAGAAGTCAAATGTGACTTGTACTCATCTTTTGTTAAGTACATTGGGTATTACAATTTTAATAGTTTTTTTCCTTTCTTAAAATGTGTATCCATTTCTTTTGGGCACCTTCTGTATATAATACATAAGATACATACATACATCTTTCCTTTCTTTCACACATATATAAATTTCACATATAAAGAAATAAAATGAAGTTTCTAAAGATGAATAATACAGTATCTGAAATAAAATATCACATTGAATGAGAGCAACAGCACTTTAGACACTGCAGAAGAAAAGATCAGTAAACTAGAATACACAGAAATAGAAACTACCCAAAATGAAGCATACAGGGGAAAAAAAAGAGTACAAAAAAAAAAAATTAAAGAGCACCCATGACCTATGATACCCATGACCTAATAGTAAGCAGTTTAACATAAATGCAATTTTAGTCTCAGGGAATGGATAACAACAGAAAAAAATATTTGAAGAAATGATGGCCAAAGAGGAAAAATAAGAACAAAGAACAAAGGCAACAAATAAAAAAACATTAACAAATGAAGCAGGTATTAACCCAACTACATCAATAATACCTTTAAACACCAATGATCTAAATACACCAATTAAAAGATAGAGATTGTCAGACTGGGTGAAAAAAAAAAGAGCCAATATATTTTGTCAACAAAAAAAGTTTAAATACAAAGGCATATATAGATTTAAAGTAAAGGGCTGAGGGCCGGCCGAGTGGCGCGATGGTTAAGAACTCGCTTGGGATGCCAGAGGGCCTCAGTTCGGATCCCACATATGAGGGCCAGAGACACTGCCCTCCACAGCTAAGATGCTGAACAACAGCTCAACCTGGAGCTGGGCTGCCGTGAGTCGCCGGCGACGGCGTGGGCTGCAGTCCCTGTGGCAGTGGATTGCCATGGGCTACCGTGTGTGGCCAGCAGCCGCAGTGAGCGGCCGTCCAGAAGCCGGCGACTGATCTGCCTCGCCAGAGAAGAGCACAATGATGGTGCCAATTGGGCCAGTGAAGCAACATCCTCCATAAGTAGATTGAAGAACAAAACGACAGCAACTTGTCTGTTCCCCTTTCCCCAATTCCCCAGCACTGTTCCCATCCCCCCAATTCCCCAATAAAAAAATCTTTAAAAAAAAAAAAAGTAAAGGGCTGAAAAAACCTTTACTATGCTAACAGTAATTAAAACAAAGCTGGAGTACCTAAGTGAATTTTAGATAGAACACACTTCAAAGCAAAGAAAATCATCAGTAATTAATAAACAGAGGCATTGCATAATGATAAAGGGGTCAATTCTCCCAAAAAACATAACGATCTTTAAGGTATATGTGCATCAAAATATGTGAGGCAAAAACTAATAGAACAGCAAAGATAGTGGACAAATCCACTATTATAGTTGGAGACGTCAACATCCCCTTTCAGCAATGGACAGATCATGAGGCAGAAAATCAGTAAGGACAGAAGAACTCAAGAGATCATCCCTCAACTGGATATAAACTATGGCACATTCACACAATGGAATATTATTCAGCACTAAAGAGAAATCAGGTATCAATCCATGAAAAGAGATGAGGAAACTTAAATGCATATTATGAAGTGAAGAAGCCACTCTGAAAAGGCTTCATATACTGTAAGATTCCAATTATACAACATTTTGGAAAAGGCAAAACTATGGAGACAGTAAGAAGATCAGTGGTTGCCAGGTGTTGGGGGGAAGGGAGAGATGAATGGGATTACAGAGAATTTTTGGGGCAGTAAAACTATTTTGTATGATATTATAATGATAAATACATGTCATAATACATTTTTTAAATCTATAAAATATACAACACCAAGAGTGAACTCTAAAGTAAAATATAGACTTCACTGATCATGACACATCAGTGTAGGTTCATTGATTGTAAAAAATGCACTACTCTGGTGGGGATGTTGCTAGTGGCGGGGGGATGACAGTGGGGGAGGTTGTGCAGGGATTGGAGCAGGGGTATATGATAACTCTCCGTACTTTCCACTCAATTTTGTTATAAACCTAAAACTGCTCTAAAAAAATAATCTTTTTTTAAAAAGATTTTATTGGGGAATTGGTTGGGGGAGGGGAACAGTGTTGTGGAATTGGGGAAGGGGTTGAACAGACAAGTTGCTGTCCTTTTGTTCTTCAGTCTAGTTGTGGAGGACATTGCTTCACTGGCCCAAGTTGGCACCATCATTGCGCTCTTCCCGGGCGAGGCAGTAGCTCGCCGGCCATTGGACGGCTGCTCACAGCAGCTCACGGCCACTCATGTTGGCTGCCGGCCACTTACGGTAGCTCACGGCAGCCCACTGCAGCAGGGGCTGCAGCCTATGCTGTTGCCAACAACTCACGGGAGCCCAGCTCCAGGTTGAGCTGTTGTTCACCAACTTAGCTGTAGAGGGCGCAGCATCACTGGTCCTCATGTGGGATCTGAACCCAGGCCCTGCTGCTCAGAGCTGGTGCTCCCAAGCCAGCTCATAACCAATGAGCCACTTGGCCGACCCCCAAAAAAATAATCTTTATTTTTTTTAAAATATCAACTGAAAAGTCTTTGGAAAAAAATCTCTAAGACTAGTAATATATACCATTACATAACAATATCGTTATTCTCCCTGAGTGTTCTCACAGCAAACGAAAACACTTATTTGCATTACTTATTTAATATTTGGGGAAGCAACTACTAGGCACAGTGAACAAAACAACATGTCTGCTCTCGTGGAGGTTAGATTATAATGGAGATGATATAGAAGAAATAGACAAGAAATTCAGATATGAAGTGCTACGGAGAAAATAAAGGATAATTTAACAGGCGTTAAGAGTCAGCGGGGGCACACGGGAATGGTGTACTCTTTCATACACAACCTTCTCTAGGGACACAGAAGCTGAGATGAGATCTGAACAACGAGGAGCCTGTGATGCCAAGATCTGGGAGGAGAGCAGTCCTGACAGAGGAAACAGAGGGGGTCCTGGGACGGAAGTGGGAATGAGTTTGCTGTGCTGGATGAAGGAGGCAGGCCAGTGAGAGGACAGCCTGATGAGCGAGATGCAGATGGGAAGGTGAACAGGTTAGGGAGGTCTCTGTTGGTCGTGGGAGGAATTTGGTGTTTTATTCCAGATACAATGTGGGGAGCCTTTAGAAAATTTTAAGCAGAGAAAAACGGTAATCTAAGTTTAACACAGCCCACTGTGGCAGTTTTATACAATAGAAAAGAGAGGACTGAAAGGGACCCAATTTGCAGCAGGAAGACCAGTCAGGAAGCTGTTGCAAAAATCCATGCTGGAGTTGACAGTGACTGGGGCCAAGGTGACAGCAGGGGACATGGTGAGCTGTGACCCGATTCACAGTGTTTTAGAGGAAAACAACAGGACCTGCAAATGGACTGGATAGGTGAAGTGAGGGAAAGGGAGAAATGAAGAGCAACTTTGGGGGTTTTCGCAGGAACAATTGATTGAAGGTGAGTAAGTCACAAAACCTTAGGAGATCGTATAAACAGTATTTTAAAAATGCGATGAAAGGTGGGGATGACAGCACCAGGAACGTAGCTGAAGTTTGAAATGCAAATATGAAGATGACAAGGAAGGCTAACGTACAGGAGAAAGCTGACCCAGCCTCTGCAGGCTAGGGCTCAGAAGTGAGGCTGACGGCCTGAGGAGGACGGCTGGATGCCACTCTCTCCTCCTGCTGGTTGAGGACATCCCAGAGAATTCTGAGCTGGTCCAGTCTCTTTTGCCTACAGGGGGTTTCAGAGTCAAACAAACCAACCAACAAACAAGCAGAGGTTGAAGGAGGTTCCCCCAGGCCAGATTCCCATAAAGGGTTGAAACAATTTCTAAGACATACATAAATGCCAGTCTCCTGCTCACCTACTCAAATAAAAACTTAATGGCTCCTGTGCCATCGATACTAGGACCCACAGATATCATAAGGGAGAAGATCATCTCAATGAACAGGTCTGTGAAGTTTTGTTCCATGGAGGGAGGGCAGGTAAGCTAATGCAGGTTAAGGGGAGAATGCCACGTTCCAGGTAACACTCTGAGGCTTGTACCGTA